ACCCGCCTAAACCGCCCAAATCCCTAATCCCGAAGCCCAAATCCCAAAACCCGACACACACCACGACCTCAAGCCCTAAACCCTAAACCTAAACCCAAAAACCCTGATGACCAGGCTTTAAGCTCTGGTGGTGGCTGTACTGCTGCGATTTCGAAGTTCTGGTCCCTTGGACGTTTCAGCTTGGGCATTCTATCAGGGTTTGTAGGGTATTACAGCTCTTATAGGGCTTTATAAGGTTTTACGGTTGTATCAAGGGTTGGGTTTTCTAAAGGTTTCCTAGAGTTCTGCATTGCATTAGGGCTTGAATGGGGGGTGGTAGCAGACAGCCACATCACAAGCGGAATTGGCAAACAGGGCAGCGCCGCTTCTTGCGCACTTAAAGTTTAGGGCCCAGGGGACTCAGGGTACAGGGTCCAGGCGTGGGGATGAACGGTTTAGGGTTTAGGTTACGGTTTACGGTTTGGGGTTTAGGGGTTTGGGGTTTAGGGTTTAGGGGTTAGATAGCTTCCTTTGGCGACAGGCAGAAAGTTTCAGCTCGACCATTGTTGCGCAGGGGTCGAGAATGACCGGGCTGTCAGAGATGAATGCACGTTGAAACGACGCGTGTTTGAGAAGTCCGATTTGCCCGCTTCTTCTTTGTTGTCTTGTGGACGACATGGCTTTACAATACAGCGGTCATCACCTTCGTGTCATCGCTGGAACTGTCTGTGGTTCGCTTCGGTCATGCACATCGGTCTCATGCTCGCCCCCCCCACTCCTGATACTCAAACTCTTTCTCATCTCCAGCCTGATCCTGTTCTCCTCCTTCTTCTTCTTCACCATCATCATCACCACTGTCATCCTGGCCGCATCATCACTCCTCGTCATCGTCAGTGTCATAATGGCCAGCATCAGAGCTTCCTTCTGGAGGCAACCCTGAGCTTCCGCCCCAAGTACTGCCACCATCTCGCAGGTTTTCCCTTCGATCCCCACGACTCCGAAACCTGACTCACCGATTCAAGTTTGGGCACTATGCCCGCGCTGTCGCACCGGCATTGTGTCATGCTACGGGTTTGCTGACCCTTATCATGGCGGGCGTTTAGTCTGACTCTTCTTGGTATCAGTACCGGGTTTCAGGGAAAGCGCTAAACCCTCAAACCTGAACCCCTCAACCCCGAAACCCCCAAACCCTAAACTCCTAAACCCTAAGCCCTCTTAGACCCTCAAATCATCTGTAGAAGCTCGTGCTTCCTCTCGGATTTGTAATTAGAGATTGATGGCGGAGTTCTCTGCCGGAGTCATCCTGAAAGCCTTGCCGGTTTAGGCTCTGCTGTTTAGGGTCTGAGTCGGGGTTTACGGTATGGGGTTTGCGTTTTCGGGTCCAGGATTGCGGGTTCAGGGTCTAGTCTGTTTCAAGGTTTCAGTGTTTAGGGCTTAGTTTCTGGTGGAGGCACACCATAGTTGTACAGGTAGGATCCAGGATGTCCCTTTAATGAGAATCTGCCGAACCCTATCTCCAAGTGCCGGAACCCTGCTATGAAATCAAAAGCCCACTGCACAAATCCCAAACCCTATGGCCTAACCCCAATGGGAACCTGGCAGCCTTACTAGTCTGTACCGATTTTACAGTAATCCACCAGGCAAACCTGACATTAATTAATCCGTATAGTAAACAGTAATCCTCAACGCGTATAGCCCAATAGCAAACCCCAAACCCTAAACCCTAAACCCTAACCCTAAACCCTCAACCCTGAACCCTAAACATCAGCCGGAGACCTTAAACCCAAAAATCCACTGTTGGAAGACTGCGAACATGGACAAGTTCTTGGACTGCTTCGTGAGCAGCTACGCGGAAGGGGGTGGTCCCAAGCTAGACAAAGAGGCCAGGAGGGGTCGGCTGTTTAGGGTCTAGGGTGAAGTATTGAATTACAAGCAGGAGCACGATTGGGGTGGCTCTGCCAGCTGGAATCCACGATCAGAGATGCAGGATTGGAAGAAGAAAGAAGAAGAAGTACAAGTAGATCAAAATGAAGGATCAAACAACTGCTGCTGCTGCTGCTGCTGCTGCTGCTTTCACTAATTACAACAACAACTACTACGACAACCCCAACGCCATTGAGCGTCTGGTGCGATGTGACATAGCAGCGTCGTATCCTTGAGCCTGCTGTGCAAGGTTCTTGTGTCTTAAAAAAGCTTCATTGCCAGAGCAAATGTACTGCAGGATCAAGTGCGGGCTGTGAGACCCTTGACCCGCAGCGCATGTGGAACAAAACTGAGCAGTCATTATGAGTGGGATGCGAGCATTGGTGATAACATGACGATCAAGGAGATGTCAACACATCCATACCCGTTCTGCTGATATCTGCTGACGCTGCTGGCAACGCTAACGCTTGATAAGCAGGACGAAAAACAAGCACATGTCAACGGTCACAGGTGCTCCGCATGATGTTCGTGCTCGCGTCGCACACGCAGATGCAGCCTGGCTGCCTCACTTCATCCAAGTCCGATGGCTGAAGCCGTTAACTCCCTCTTCCGATTAGTTCCCACTCTTGCTAGTTTCAAGGTTCGAGGCTGCTGGAGAAGAGTGTCATCCTAAGCTTGTCGGTTTTCGGGCTTGGAGTTTCGTGTCAAATAGTCCGGAGTCATTCCTGGAGCACACGCCCCCTCCCCCCCCCCGCGTCACCCGGCATGCAACCCGAAATCGAGGGTGTTCGGCAAACGCGGTGCTAGAAGAACCAGGCCCGCTCAAACGCCAAGGGCCAAACCCCACCATCCTACAGCCGTAAGATTCAACCCCCCCCCCCCCACTGCTGGAACTTAAAGCCTTATAGAGCCACGAAGCCCCAAAGCAACGCCTGGAAGCCCTAATTTTCAAAGCCTTGATGCCCTAAACCCGCAGAAGGTTTGGGCTCCTGGCAGCGATCGGCCAAATCTACCGGACCCGCGGAGGGGAGTTGGGCCCAAGAATCGGTTTGGAGACGATGGCCGAAGCCGAGCCGATTCAGGGCTTCAGGGTAGGACTCAGAACTTTCGTGTTCAGATTGTGTTCTAAACAGCCGCAGGACGGCTGTAGGAGTAATGTCGAGTGGAGTACAATCATGCAGGCGCAAAAAGTCGAGTCTGGTCTAAATCTAGAAGTTTGCAACATACGTTTATTGCCGTGCGGAGCGACATGAAACCCCGTGCAGGATGTGCCCAAAGAAGGAGTTCCCCAACATCAAAGATCGTGGCTGCCCCAGTTGATTCCCGTTTGCGAGCGCAACGATGCTTTTTCTAGTCCTGCTTTGGTGCCTGAGGCTATGACCCCAAAGTCGGCGAAAACATCAATGACAAGAGTACGTTGCGGCTTTACATCCAGGCGGGTTTGGATCAGCTTTCGCACTCCTTTGCCACAGTGCAAGGGAGTCTAGGCAGGAGAAACCCGGACATGATTAGTGCTGTTTGCAAGTGCAGTCTTCGTCTTAATCATCACAACAGACAGCTGCAAGAGCGAACCATCCGAAGTTGCATTGTGCAGGTGATGAGAACTGTGACGCTGATCCACAAGGAGTGGCAGGAGCGGCCGACTGAAAACCTGCTGAATATCAGATGATGGCCCCGCAGCCAGATCCCGATGAATCTGCACTCTCCAAAGTAGACGGGTGAATGTTAGAAAGCCTATCTTCATGCTCTACCACCAATACGATTCTTCAAAACCCCTGCAGCTGATGGCATGCTGTGGGGCAAGTATGCATGGAGCATTCAGCTGCGTGCCTCTTTAACAGCGGAAGCAGCCCGATGCAAAGGCCCCTGAAGCGAGCCCCAGTGCTCTGCAGCAAACCCTGAACCCTGAACCCTGCACCTAAACCCCCAACCCTAGGCCCTAAGCCATAAACCCTGGACCCTAAACCCTAAACCCATGGAGAAAGGGGGCACATCAACGTTACAAAAACCCAAAACCCACTGCAGGCAGACAAGATCATGGACGACTTCGAAACCCAAGTTGTCGAGCTTGTCGGAAGCAGCAGCCTGGCAGCCTGCTCTTGGGACATCGCGTAATGTAGGGACCGTAATAATGACCTACGGTTGAAGATATAAATCCTGCATTACCTTAAGGACCCTAAACTATGGGAATTATGGTATATTCCTCATTACGGGTAATGCAGTATTTATATCATCAACCGTATGATAGGGTTCCTTTAAAAGGGTTCCTCTAAAAGGCTCCTTTAAGGGTTACTAAAAGGGTACCCTTATTACAGTTACAGTATAATGGGCCCCAAATCCTATTCTAACTATTAAGGCCCTATACTGAACCCGTATGGTAGCACATTAAAGCGACCCTTTTGAACGGACCCTATTCTAATTATTGAGGCCCTTACATTGCCAAAGGTACTTGCCATCTTGTTGCCTGTTGCTGGCCCTGAGGCAAGAAGGATCCCAGCACAATGCAAGCGTGAGCCCTCCGGCCTCCTGGCACTTTCCTGCCGTGTCTTCCTGCAACAGCTCTGTCTTCCGAGGGGTTTAGGGTTTAGGGCTTTTACCGCTTACAACTTAGAACGGCTTGGAAAATAGAGGCTGCATTACTCTTCCAACTATGCCCCGGTGAAGGCAGTGGATGTAGCGCCGAGCGATTCGATTGGCTGCAGCTCGAAAACAGACTCACGTGGCGCGAACTATGACCGTGAGTAGAGTTCATGCGAATCGTCATTTGGATGATTTTCGTTGCTACTTATCGCAACTGCTCGGACTTTGACAATGGCACGTCCTTAGTGTCTTGTTAAGTAGTGGCAACATAGTAGCAGTGCCATGATTTCAGCGATCCCACTTCCCGAGCTCATTTCTGCTCCCCCATGCTTTAGTTTCAATTTGTCTGTTCGGGTGCTACACTAACTACACTAACTTCGGGGGTTGGAACCCATGGCTGTCGTTTGCACGGCTGCACGATTTCAGTGTCCCCGCAGACGCACCGATACACCGCTGAGTCAGCAGCAGCGCCTATGCACCAAGACACTACGCAGGGCAATGCGCCAAACTGCTCCAAGGTGCCCCTTCGGCACCTTCGACTTCGCCCCGGGTGCCGGGGCTGCAAACTGACGTCAGATTTTCGGCATAAATTTGGGCCGGAAGAGCTAGCAACCAGACTTACCATTCCTTCGTGGGTCTTGGATCATTGTACTATAAGATACCCCAACAACCTGTGATGATCTGTAAGGCTTCCATACGCGTCGTCTACCTGGTGATCGTCGTTGTCGGGAAAGGTTTTCACATTAGTGTCAGAAGTATTGGTTCTTGGTGCCACAAGAAGAGGACGAGTAGTTGCACTGAAAGTAGTCATCGTAATAGCAGCTGTAGCCGTATAGACACGTAGGACCAGCTGCGGCAACCACGGCAACAGTTGGCAGGACATTCGTATCTGTTGACAATACCCGCGCAGGGCGTCATGGGAGAGCTACAAGGGAAAGTTCTGAGAATGCACCCGTGATCGTGCACGATCGTTACATCTTATCATTTCGCTTTACAGCAGTGGTGTTCAAGTTCTTATCTTCCGTCAAAAGCCGGCGACATCTCAAGACCCGAAGCCCTGAAACCACAAACCCTATGCCCTAAACCCTGAACCCCTCATCCAAAATCCCTGCGTGTCTCAAACGACACCTTGAGGTCCCTCGCGGCATGAAGGAGCTGCGCAGCAAAGCCTGGATCCTGGTCGCCTTGAATGCTCCTCACGACAAGCGCCGTTGCTACTTCTAGTCTCACCGGCAGAAAGCTTCTTGTGATCTCTCTCTCCGTCTCTCTCTCTCTCTCTCTCACACTGTCTCTCTCTCATTGTTCGGCTTGTTCGCATGATTAGCACCTTCGTCACTGACAGACTGTTGCTGGCACTGTCACTGCGATGCTTACAGGAATGCTTACCATGAGCTTCGCTGCCACCGTTGCGCTGCTGTTAATCACAACTATTGTTAGAGTTTCAATGTCTATCACTGTGTCACTATCACTATCACTGTCAGTATGGTTTCTTGTTAATACTGTTGTGCTTGTTATCATCGTTGTTGTTGTTGCTACCACCATTGCCACTGCCACTGCCACAGCCACAGCCACAGCCACTGCCACAGCCACTGCCACTGCCACTGCTGCTACGACTGCTGCTACTAATGCCTGTACTGCTATTGCTGCTTCAACTACTATTAGTACTCGTGCTACTAGTACTACTATGCTTTTCTACTGCGCCCCGGTACTGCTGCTGCTCCTACTACTACCACCACTACTACTACTACTACTACTACTACTACTACTACTCCTGCTACTACTACTACTACTACTACTACTACTACTACTACTACTACTACTACTACTACTACTACTACTACTACTACTACTACTACTACTACTACTACTACTACTACTACTACTACTACTACTACTACTACTACTACTACTACTACTACTAACTACTAACTACTAACTACTAACTACTACTACTAACTACCTACTACTACTAACTACTAACTACTCACCTACTAACTACTATACTTACTAACTACGAACTACCAACTACTTTTTTTTTTTTTTTTTTTTTTTTTTTTTTTTTTTTTTTTTTTTTTTTTTTTACAACTACTAACTACTAACTACTAACTACTACTACTACTACTACTACTACTACTACTACTACTACTACTACTTCTACTACTACTACTACCACCACTACCACTACCACTACCACTACCACTACCACTACCACTACCACTGCCACTGCCACTGTCACTGCCACTGCCAATGCCACTGCCACTGCCACTGCCACTGCCACTACTACTCTGCTACTACTACTACTACTACTACTACTACTACTACTATTACTACTACTAGTGCTACTACAGCACTGGTAATGTCATTGCTACTGTCCTTGTCATTGTTATTACCCATGCGTGCGAACTTGACCATGGTTGCGTACCTGTCTGTTTTCAACCATCCTGGAAATGTTTCAGGTGGTTGTGGCTGCAGAACTGGTAGAGCTAGCCACCATGATGATGGTCGTCGTCGAAGAACAAAATCAGCCACGATGGCATTTCGGGTCTGACACTTTGCGAGGCCCAGAAAAATTGAAAAGGCTCTCTTGCCTTCAACTGCATAACCTTGAAACCATCTGTCCGACCCATCGCCCCATCCGCACGAGTGGAGGTTTGTTATTCTCTCCTCAACGACTTCAGAGGGCAGGCGCCGGAATCTGCAGGTGAATGTAATATAGGGGCCTCAATCATCAGAATAGGGCTTAGGGGGTTTGTTATGATACAACTATAACAAGGAACACCCAAATAGTCTCGGCAATTATTCAGGCCCCCTATATGAGGTTGTGCTGCAGGATCACAGGACTTTGTTTGCTACATGCCATGCGAGCCCGAAGCGCGAGGTGCTCCGCTAAACATCCCATGTCTGCTTAGCTTCTGCACTTGCAAAAAGGCCCTTCACTGTCAGAAACCACCTCAAACCCTAGAGCCCGAATCCTGAGTCCAAAAGCGAGCCCAACTCTCAAACTCTAATTCATCAACCCTCGTCGCTAAACCCGTCGCCCGAGCCAAGCGATCAGTGTCTTGACGAACTTTTACGTTTCTTCTGCAGGGCAGGGTGGTCCATGGACATTCCCTGACACGCGCGCTTCTTCACTGCCAAGAAGGAGAGGCAGGCAACGAGGAGTGCCATGTGCTTCCTCATTCCTTGGTGTAGTATAGTCATCATCATGCCAGCGCTATTATGACTCCCCCGGTGCTTCTATGTTGAGTATATATATATACATATATATATATATGTATTTATATATATATATATATATATGTGTATATATATATATATATATATATATATTGAAAAATCTGTGTTGATGTACATGCACATCATACGCATGTTGGAGCAAAACTGTTGACCATTACGGACTATGGATGTTGATGCGAAGAGTGTTACTCCACAGTTCTCCTTGCAAGATGGTCTTTTGTGAGCAAGAGTCAATATTGTCACACTACTCTGAGCAATGTTCTTTTATGTGTATGAAACCACTGCTGCACGGAACCAGTGTTTGTTTTGCTGTAGTTGCCTTTATGTTTTTTGTTCTCGTTGCGCGGACCCAGGAAGCCAGTGAGTGAGTGAACCCCGGTGCCCGCAACGACAGCCAAAAAAATTAACGCGCCCCCCAGGGACGCCAAAAAAAACGCGCCCGCGCAACGACAGCAAAAAAAACGCGCCCCCGCAACGACAGCAAAAAAAGCGTCCCGCAACGACAGCAAAAAAGCAACGACAGCAAAAACAAAAACACGGGGCGTGTTTTTTTGGCTGTCGTTGCGGTGGCGCGTTTGTTTATTGCTGTCGTTGCGGAGGCGCGTTTTTTTTGCTGTCGTCCCTGCGGGGCGCATTTTTTTTGCCCCTAGGGACGACAGCAAAAAAAACGCGCCCCCTAGGGACGACAGCAAAAAAAGCGTGCTCGCGCAACGACAGCAACAAAACAGAGCCACGGCAACGACAGAAAAA